ACTCGACTAATGCATAAGGAGAAATGGCTTCATTAATTTTTTTTTCCCTGTTCTTTTTATCCTAGCATATCCTTTTAATCTCTGGTCCATCTAGAGTGGAAAAATTGAATTCATAAGAAAACATTAACTGTGTTACTTGGTGTAATGCTCCCTCTTAAAACTTGAAATGCTACAGTCTAAAAAAATAAGTCTGTTGTAGAAGCAAGATACAATTTGGAAATTTTTTTTTACCCATATTGTTTGAAAACAAACAATGAAGATAATTTTTGTGAAGCAGAGATCAAAGTGGATGTATGACACTCACGATATTTGATATTTTCATTTTTTCAAAATGTCTGTATCTTACTGAATATGCAAACCAATTTTAAATTTATAGCAAATCTACTTTCAGAGTGGTAAACCTAGTCTCCGAGATAAAATAAACCCCTTTGCTGAAGAAGTATTACAAAGTATTCTTTCAAGTTTGGAGAACCAGTTGAAGCACGTGGTGGGTTTTGGCCTCCCAGGTGCTCTGCCTCTCTTTCAAACCAATATTCAGGTAAGGTAATAGATACACCCTTTGATGTAAATTTTTTATCATTTAACCCTTTGACTGTCGCAACCCCCAATCCTGAGGTGTCTCCTGGTGTCGCAAAAATTTAAAAAAAAAAAAAATTTATTTTCTTTTGAAATGATAGAGAATCTTTCCCGATTGTAATGACACCAAAAAAAACGAAATTTGATGGAAAACTGACGGAATTATGCCTCGCGAAGTTAGCGACCTCGGGCTGTTTACAAATCGGCGATTTCGCCCACTTTGCCCTTTTTTCGGCTAATTCCATTGTTCCAGTCGCCCAAACTCAAGCTATTTCTTTAGAACTTTATTTTTTCTATCGATTGAGTACAAGAAACTGCCATTTAATGATTTCAACTACCTAATAATGTGGTCAGAAATTTCCAGTTTGGCCAATTTCACGAAACTAAAAAATATGACAATTTCAAAATAAGGTCCAGAATGAACAAGCAGACATTCCCGGCTCTAAAATAACGTTTTCTTTGTTCATCAGTCACGTCTCCAGGCCCCTCTGATATTTCTCTTGCTTTCTATTTTGAATTTTTTCAAACAAAAAATATTAGACTTACTATTAGCAGACTACTGCAATGCTGTAAAAAATTGTATAAATAACATCAACCCATTCATGACTGCATATTAGAATGGCTAGTTTGGGCATTTAAATTTGGGCAATGGCATCATTTGTTTACTTTTGAACATTGGCAAAAATCAAAAAATTTCCCCTACTTTGAGCTCCATATTCTAGGTTCTTTTTATAGTAAAATCAATCAAAAACACCTCTATTTCTGTAATATGTTTTCCATTCTATCAAATGAGACCAGAAACGAGGAATACAACCATAAATACTATACGAAAATAGACCCCAAAGTCGGCATTTTAATTAAAATAAATGGTCGGAGTTTTTTTTTTCTCATTTTGCACTGCGTGCTCCAGGATTTTTTTTATATGGGGCACCCCTGACCACACAGACCCATTCCTCACATGTGGCCCTACCAGCTTTCTCCTGCTTTGATTTAAGCCCGCTAGAAAATTTGAGTATATATACGTCAAACACGGCACCTCGTTTAAAAAAAATATATATACGGCCGGACAGTCAAAGGGTTAATGCATTTTTTTTTTTTTTTTTAACATTGGGTTAAGTTTACATTCCAAGTCTTCACTAATTTAGTCTCTCTCCTAGTTTTAAATTTAGATTTTTTATTTTGACAAATTACATGGTTGTACAGAGGAATATAGTATAGTTTGGGTGTACATGCCAAAAGCATTTGGGTAGACTTAAAGATTAAATTAAGAATAATAAGGCCCAAAAATACATAGTTCATATGGTCATTAGACGAGTTAGTGAGTACAGGAGAATTTAATATTATATTAGGTGATGCTACTGGTTTTGACAAGTCTAGTAGAGACTTTTTACACAATTGAATTAGTTAATGAAGATTAAGTATTACAAAGTAAAAAATTTAAAACAATGAAATTTAGTATTACAGTAGAACAATTTTCAGTATGATGTACTGTATTACAATCTAATACTATTTAAAATGGTGAAAAAAAATGGGCATCCTAATTTGGAAGTAGTAAGTGGATGAGCATTCATCAGCACAATAGTGTAGCTGTTAAGGAAACTGGTAGTGGTACGATAAGGTTTGTTGGTTAATTTGGGGTGATGAGGGGATTTTTTATTTGGGCCTTAACCCTTTGACTGTTTTGGTCATATATATATATATATACGTCTTAGAGCCAGTGTTTCGGACATATTAATACGCATAAATTCTAGCGGCTTCAAATCAAGCAGGAAAAAAACTGGTAGGCCCACATGTGAGAGAATGGGTTTTGTGTGGTCAGTGTGCACCACATAAAAAAAAAAATCCTGCAGCACGCAGTGTGTAATGAGAAAAAAAAACTGACCGCTTTTTATTTTTTTAATTAAAACTCCTACTTGGAGGTGTATTTTTGTATAGTATTTATCATTGTATTCTCGTTTTCATGGTCTTGCATGATAAAATGGAAAACAATTACAGAAATATAGATGATTTTGATTAGTTTCACAATGAAAACGACCTTGAAATTGAGCTCAAAGTAGCGGAAATGTTCGATTTTTACCAATGTTCATGAGTGAGCAAATCACACCACACATCCAAACACGTCAACTGAGGAGTCTAACATTCTTTCACTAGTGCACTGATATTATTTATACCATTTTTACAACAATGCAGTAGTCTGCATAACATAAATTTTGTATTTTTTGTACGAGAAAAAAAATCAAATGGAAAGCAATAGTAATAGAGGGGGCCTAGAGACATAACTAATAAACGGAGGATATGTTTATTTTAGTGTCAAGAATGTCTACATTGTTTATTCTGGACCCATTTGAAATTGGCATCTTTTTTAATTTACGTGAAATTGGCCAAAAATTTCCAATTTCTGACCACTTTATTGGGTAGTTCAAATCGGTAAATGGACGGTTTCTTTTAACTCAAAATGAAAAGAAAAAAAATGGAGAAATAGCTACGAGTTTGGTCAACTGGAACAATGGAATTGGCCGAAAACAGGGCTCAGTCAAAGAAATCGCCGATGCATATATGTCCCCGAGGCCGCTAACTTCGTGGGAGCATAATTCTGTGAGTTTTCGACCCAATTTCGTACTTTTGGTGTCATTACCATTTGGAAAAGATTCTCTATCATTTCACAAGAATTTTTTGTTTTTTTCCAAAAAATTTTTCAACATAGAATGAGTTTTGGAAAGGGGCTTGCAACAGTCAAAGGGTTAATACAAGTTGATATTCTTAAAGATCACTTGCTTCTGAAAAAAGCAGCTGTCCAGAACTTAATAGTAAGTAAAAAATGTTGTGTTCTAAAATTATGTTGTAAAATATTAGATTTATGTTCCTAGGTTACTTTGGGAAGTGAGATGTTCCATGTTCGCGTATCAGAGGTGAGGGAGCTTATGCAAGAGTGTTCCAGGCATCAACATTGGATCCATTAAATGTCACAATGTTAGCCACTGATGATGATGAGGAAGATGAGAAGTGCAGGTATGCAGAGAATGCATAGGTAATTTCTGTGCATAATGGTATGCTCTTTTCTTAAGTAGTATTTTTTTAATTTTTTTTTATTAACAAGTCGGCCGTTCTCCCACCGAGGCAGAGTGACCCAAAAAGAAAGAAAATCCCCAAAAAGAAAATACTTTCATCATCGATCAACACTTTCACCTCACTCACACATAATCACTGTTTTTGCAGAGGTGCTCAGAACACAACAGTTTAGAAGCATATACGTATTAATAAAAATTTCCTTTTTTTAGTTTCCAGAAGGTATAGAAAAGTGGTTAATTTAAATATTTCAATATTGTTTTTCTTTACTACATGTATTTTAAAATTTCGTTGGCAATATTGTTTATAATTACCCATTTTACTTTGCTAGGAAGGTCAGAAATATCCTAGTTGTCTTATTTGTGGACATGTTCCACTGTCATTGTTTTACTTAATTCTATTATTTATCATTCTTATTTTAGCCATATAATTTCCAATTGGTCATTTAGAGAGGATTGAGCTAAAGAGGATGACTTGGTGTATAAATCTGTAATAGAGTGAAGGAAGGATAATGGGTTGTCCTAGGAAAGGATGGAGGGAGGGGTAAGAGATTTTGGAAATACAGTAGGCATGTTTGAGCATGTTAGATAGGATTGAATGGTTATTTGGGACCTGATGAGCTGTTGGAGTGTGAGCAAGGTAATATTTTGTAGAGGTACAGGGAAACTGGTTAGCCAGACTTGAGTTCTGGAGATGGGAAGTACAATGCTTGCACTAAAGGAGGGGTTTGGGATATTGGCTGTTTAGAATGATATCTGTTTTATCTGAGTGCCTCTGCTAAGACTTGATTATATGTGAATGATGGTGAAAGTATTTTTCTTTTATGGGTCACCCTGCCTCTGTGGAAGATGGCCGATGTGTTAAAAAAAAAAAATATCAATTTTCTCTCCTTGTCCTTGTTGGTGATGGGTGCTTGATCTAGGAAATTGAAGCTCTCCTTTCCCTCGCTTGAATTGAATCCAGTTGCCTCCCATCCCCTAGGTTCTGAATGATTTCTGTGGCTTTAATGCTTCCCTGCGACTAATGATCTCCTTGTGTGCATGTTACCTCTGATTTGTTCCAGATCATATGAAAGAAATAGGACTAACTCTTAATCTATACATAAATGGTGTACAGTGCCAACAAGATGAAGAATTAGACATGTGCAATACCTGGGCATCTTTATTTGTAGACTTGCCATCCAGTGGCGTTATCAATGCAAATTTCGCCACTGGATGGTGAATTGTCTAATTCTTCAACTCTTAATCTGTCTTTAATCACCTAGTGAATTTTCCATTGCAGGGCATGTGATATCCGCCCTATTTTGAACTACACGAGTTTGAAGTTATGTATCAAATTCTTCTTTTTTGATTAGGTTATTCTGAAGGTGCAGAAACCAGCTAGTCCTTGGGAATTCTACATATGCCATGAACTAAGACAGCGTCTCAAATTGCATGCCCATGCAAAAATATTCTTGACTCTGTCATGAGGATCAACAGGGGATATTTCTTCTCTAATGGATCAGTTCTTGCAAATCGGTATCATAAATTCGGAACTCTACTAGATGCTGTTAATGGGTATGTAGTTTTCAACTTTACTTTTTGTTGCTAATGTGTAATTTTATCATTTATCATGTGGATTAAAAAAAACGTTAAAACTTTTTGCAGGCTATAACAAGACCACTCTGAAAACAGTGTTGAATACTTCATTTTTAGTCATATCAGAAATATCTGGTGACTTAAAAATTTGTCCTAGGCTAAAAAAAAATAAAGGAAAACCTACATTACCTGTACAGGCATTGATCTGCTTTGTAGATCTGAATGAGCATTTTATGTTAAAATATTTAATATTGTTGAAATATCTTGTTGGGAAAAAAAAAAAATCTGCATTCAAAAAAGTGTTCTATAAAATTTTAAAGCAGAGTTCAGCACTGGATCACCCAAAGGATTATATTTTATATACTAGGACTATATTTTATATACTATCCTGGATATCGTCGTCTTGTTCATTTCATAGTTTTTACCCTGGTAATGAAGGAGTAGTGAAGAAAATTTTTCTACAGGATTTAATAGAAAAATTGCCTATTAAAAACCCTTACGTTTTTTTATTCACACCACACCATCTATCTCACAGCAAGGTAGGGTGACCTGAGAAAGGAAAAAAAAACACACTGGTTTTCCCCTTCATTTAACAGCTGCTGTGCCAGAAGTGCACAGACATCTCAACTGAAATGAGCCTCCACACTGTTGTATCCTTACCATTTTACCAGAGTAGACACTGTACAGTACTTCCCACCTCAAGGAATCAATGCTGTATAGTAAAATATTGTAAGATGTAAATTTCACTAGTAAATCCAGCTGGAGAAAGTTATCTTCTCACTGAAGATAGTTTTTACATTTCAAGTTAATGTAATGAAAGTGTTGAATGATGGTGAAAGTGTTTTTCCTTTTTGGGTCACCCTGCTTCGGTGGTAAAACAGCTGGGGTGTTTAAAAAAAAAAAAAAAAAGCCTAAATACATTTAAGTTGAATTTTTTTCCCTTTACCAAATTAAATTGTTTTGATTTAACAAACTTTAGAAATATGGGGACAGAATCCACAAAGTCTCGAATTTGGTAATGAAGGATAGTTTTTTTTTACTGAGTATTTGAATTACTGAGCTCATTGAAGCAAACTTCTACCTCTCCATAGCTCTGATAGTTTATCCTCCTAAAATTCCATTTTTCAGTGGCAACAATGTTAGAAAACCTTAAAACTTCCATCCCTCTAAACATAATTTTTTTCCAATGATGGGTCTTATCATGGTGGAGTTGAGAGGCTTATGCTCAGGTGAGATAGGTGGCCCTCTTTGGGATAAGGAGTCACTTTCCAAGAAATATACTGGCATAGCTGTGTACAACACAGATCACCTTTTCTTGTGTTCATCAACACTAACCAGAGGAGAAAAGAGCATACATAGGAAGAAGGAATTTACAGTAGGCCCCGCTTTATGGCATTCCGCTAATACAGACATTTCAAATTACGTTATTGACTAAAACTCCCTTACAGCTCCCCTCACCCTAATACTGTGACCCCGCCTCGCCCAATTTGTTTACATTCTCTGTGAGCTCCATGTCTCTCATTATGTCTGGAAACTTGTGTGTACCTGTACCTAAGTAAACTTACACACTGTGTTGGCGTGCAGATACACATTAAAATTACTAAGTGTGTCATATGTCTCGAGGATGCCAAATTAATAATTATTTATATTTATTTATTTATTATCACACCGGCCGATTCCCACCAAGGCAGGGTGGCCCGAAAAAGAAAAACTTTTACCATTCATTCACTCCATCACTGTCTTGCCAGAAGGGTGCTTTACACTACAGTTTTTTAAAATGCAACATTAACACCCCTCCTTCAGAGTGCCCGGCACTGTACTTCCATCTCCAGGACTCAAGTCCGGCCTGCCGGTTTCCCTGAATCCCTTCATAAATGTTACTTTGCTCACACTCCAAAAAGCACGTCAAGTATTAAAAACCATTTGTCTTTCCCTTCACTCCTATCAAACACGCTCACGCATGCCTGCTGGAAAGTCCAAGCCCCTCGCACACAAAACCTCCTTTACCCCCTCCCTCCCAAACCCCTTTCCCAGGCCGACCCCTACCCCGCCTTCCTTCCACTACAGACTGATACACTCTTGAAGTCATTCTGTTTCGCTCCATTCTCTCTACATGTCCCAACCACCTCAACAAACCTTCCTCAGCCCTCTGGACAACAGTTTTGGTAATCCCGCACCTCCTCCTAACTTCCAAACTACGAATTCTCTGCATTATATTCACACCACACATTGCCCTCAGACATGACATCTCCACTGCCCCCAGCCTTCTCCTCGCTTTCAAACATTCATCACCCACGCTTCACACCCATATAAGAGCGTTGGTTTAAAACTATACTCTCATACATTCCCCCTTTTGCCTCCAAGGACAAAGTTCTTTGTCTCCACGATCCTAAGGCCCACTCACTCTTTTTCCCTCATCAATTCTATGATTCACCTCATCTTTCATAGACCCATCACGCGACACGTTCCCCCCTCCCAAATATTGAATAGTAATAATAATAATACTCTGTAATAATCACTGAGGCACTTTAAATGTTGTATATTATGTTAATATACATTTTTTTTTTTAACAGCTGTCTCCCACTGAGGCAGGGTGATCCAAAAAGAAAGAAAATCCCCAGAAAGAAAATACTTTCATCATCATTCAATACTTTCACCTCACTCATACATAATCACTGCTTTGCAGAGGTGCCCAGATACAACGGTTTAGAAACATTGTGGCAGATGTTGCAAGTGTATTCCATACACTTGCAACATCTGCCACATTGCTCCCCTGTCCACTCTATCATATGCCTTTTCTAAATCCATAAATGCAATGAAAACTTCCATACCTTTATATATGTTTCAATGTTTAAACACTTGATCTACACATCCCCTACCCACTCTAAAGCCTCCTTGTTCATCTGCAATCCTACTCTCTTACCTCTAATTCTCTCAGTAATAACCCTACCCATACACTTCCTGGTTTATACTTAGTAAAACTTACTAACCTAAAATTTTTAAAATTTCTCTTGTCCTCCTTCCCCCGTATTAAGAATTATCATGCTCTGCCAGCCCTGGGTACCTTTCCCCCCCCTTTCATACATAAATTAACAAAAATACCAACTACTTACACACTATAATCCCCCTGTTTTTAAACATTTCTGTCATAATCCCATCAGTTCCAGCTGTTTTTTACCCCCTTTGTCTACATAATGCCTCACGCACCTCCCCCACACTCACATCCTGCTCCTCTTCACTCCTAAAAGATGTTTACTTCCCTGGCCAGTGCATGAAATTTTTGCCTCCCTTTCTTCATTGACATTTAAAAGTTCCTCAAAATATTCCCACCATCTACTAACCCCCCTACTCTGTTTTTAACTGACAAATCCATTCGTTCCCTGGTTTTCTTAACTTGTTTATCTTGCTCTACTAGCTCACCTTTTTGGCAATAGTTGCTTATATCTCACCCTAACTTTCTCCTCCCTTAGTTTATGCACTTTCACCTCTCTTACTTGCTGTTCCTATTTTCCTTTTGTCCCATCTACCTCTTACTCAAAGTGTAGCTACGACTAAATGGTGATCCAATATATCAGTTGCCCCTCTATAAACATGTACATCCTGAAGCCTACCCATCAACCTTTTATCCACCAATACATAATCTAACAAACTACTTTCATTATGCACTATATCATACCTTGTATGCTTATTTATCCTCTTTTTCATAAAATGTATTACTTATTACCAAACCTTTTTCTACACATCGCTCAATTAAAGGCTCCCCATTTTCATTTACCCCTGGCACCCCAAATTTACCTACTACTCCCTCCACAACATTTTATCCCACTTTAGCAATGAGATCCCAACCACAAGTACTCTCAATAGGTTCAAAACTCCCCATGCACTCACTCAACATTTCCCAAAATCTGTCTCTCTTCTACACCTCTTCTCCAAATGCATAAGCAATTACCATAACCCACTTTTCACATATTTATTTTCATTAAACCATCTATGATATTTTTTCAAAGTTATATAATGAACATGCTACGTAACATATAAACATGATAAATACATCCCATAGAATAAATTAACGTAAAATCTTGTCGGAGCGTCAGAAAGAATAACGTTTTCTATAGTTCAACACCAAAGAAAATGTGTACACAATATTACTGGGGGGTAACTGTAGAAAATTATTCCTTTCATCTGCCTTCACTCAGAGCATCATTTCTTCTGAAAATGGTGTTACATGAGAATGGGAGTGTTGCTTTTTATTTTTTCTACTGTACCAATGTGGAGACAACTTGTACACAATGTAAAGTGTTTGTATTATGGTATAATACAAACACGTATGAACCAAAACCAGATGCATTCGTCTGTTTACATACTCTGCGTCTCTGTCCTCTCACATTTACTCGTTCTCTCTCTCTCTCTCTCTCTCTCTCTCTCTCGTTTATTTGTTAAATCTCGTTTACTCGCCTCTCACCCTACATTAAGACTAAAAATATTTTAAAGTAATGAGTGAACTGTATATGCATTCCATCACTCTGGGACACCTTAAATGTCATAGTACATGTATATTCCATGTGGGTGGGGTGGCGTCGCTGGCTACCATACCTCCCACGCCTGACTTCTTATAATAAATACTACTCGCCTCTCACCCTGCATTTGGACTACAAATAGTTTAAGGTAAGTAATGAGTGTACTGTGTGTGTATTTTACTTTTTATTATTTTTAATGCCTAATTCTATTGATTATTTAAAATATGTTAGTGTAAACTTACCTGGCATTTATATGAATTTATAGGTAGAAAAAATGGCATCCTGCTTTCTGGTGGTAGCCTGGCACCTAATCTGCCGTATAAGTGGAGCCCTATTGTATATGGTTGTTCACCCCCCCCTTCCCCCATTTTTTTTTGTAGGGGGTTATTATTGAAACTACTGTAAAGTACTTAAACATCAGAAATTTGCAGTCTACATTTTTCATTTTTTAACACTGGCCGTGTCCCACCGAGGCAGGGTGACCCAGAAAAGAAGAAATGTAAAGTAGTTTATCTTTTTCTTCTTTCGACAAACTAGCTGCATCCCACCAAGGCAGGGTGACCCAAAAAGAAAAATGAGTATCTTTTTACCTTTAGTAATGTATACGGGAGAAGGGGTTACTAGCCCCTTGCTCCCAGCATTTTAGTTACCTCTGAAGACGTGTATGGCTTAAAGAGGAAGAATTCTTCTTCACTTCCTCGTGGAGTACAATCTAAATATATTGGAGGAAAGCCAGATTCTCAAGGATTTGTTTGTATAATCCCAGATTTCAGATTTTTTTTTATTGCTACCCCTTAATTAAAATTAATTTTACTAGACAAAAAACTATTAGTACTAAAATTAATTTTAACCCGTAAACAGTCCAAGCAGATCTATGTTCACATGTGTAATGCTACAAAAATAGATCTACTTTTTTTTAAATGTTTTCAAATATAACAAAAAAAAGTAGATCAAAGTTTTTTTACACATTTTCAAATGTAAAAAAACAAAAAGATCTACTTTTTTTACATTCAGATGTTGAAAAAACGTATATATACGTTTGGACCATTTACGGCTTAATTAAGGGATAGCAATAAAAAAGAATTCTGAAATCCGGGATTACGAACAAATTCTTGAGAATCTGGCTTTCCTCCAATATATTTAGATTGTACTCACCGAGGAAGTGGAGAAGAATCCTTCCTCTTTAAGCCATACACGTCTTCAGAGGTAACTAAAATGCCAGGAGCAAGGGGGCTAGTAACCCCTTCTCCTGTATACATTACTAAATTTAAAAGGCAAATAGTATTTTGTTTTTTTCTTTTGGGCCACCCTACCTTGGTGGAATATGGCCAGTTTGTTGAAAGAAGTTTTTAGTCTGAGTATTTTTGAAGTGCTGTGTGTTGCATATTAATTAATTAATTTTTTTTTTTTTTTTTTTTTTTTTTTTTTTTTTTTTTTTTTTTTTTTTTTTTTTTTTTTTTTAGATACAAATCTATAGGCAGTTCCATGCCTGAAGAAATGGCAATGTACTTCATGGTGGAAGTACTAACCATCCTAGAAGCACTACACAGCTGTAGTATTATACATGCTGATGTGAAGCCTGATAATTTTCTCATACGAAACATTCCACGCGTCAATAACGAGGTTGCTACACCTGCTGAGAGTTTTGCCAATTGTCCAACCTCCCTCAAGCTTATTGATTTTGGACGAAGTATTGATATGAAGAGATTTCCTGAAGGAACAACTTTTACAGAAAAGGTAAGCATAGTAGATTATAATAGGCTTTTTTTGTATTAGAAGCTTGAGTTGCTTACGGAAATATGGTACACTATATATAAATTACTCTTATCATTTTTTAAACACACTGTCTCCCCCTCGAGTAGGGTGACCCGAAACATTCACCATCATTCACTCTATCACTATCGTGCCAGAGGTATGCAAATGCTCCAGTTCAGATGCCCCTCCAAACTGCAAATCTCTCCACCCTGCCTTCAGAGTGCAGGCACTACTTCTTACCTCCAGAATTTGTCTGGCTAACTGGTTTTTCCTGAATACCTTTACAAAATGTTACCTTACTCACCATCCAGTACCTCGTCAAGACCCAAAAACCATTTACCTCCACTCCTAGGTAACATGCTCACACGTCTGCTGGATTTCTAACTCCTTTGCTCACACACCTTTACCCCTTTCCTCCAACTTTTCTTAGGGTGACCTGTACCCCACCTTCCCTCCACTATGCTTCATACCCATATAAGTGTGTGTTGGTATTGCTGTACTCTCATACATACTCTTTTTTTTGCATCCATGGATAATGTTCTTTGTCTCCACAGATAGATGCCTCAATGCACCACCCACCTTTTACCCCTTCATCAGTTCTATGGTTTTTCATCTTTTGTAAACCCATCCATTGACAGGTTCACTCCCATACTTCCTCCATAATCTCTCCTTCTAGTCTGATATCCACTTTCAATTTCTGTCTTCAAAATTTTTTTTTTTAACAAATCGGCCGTCTCCCACCAAGGCAGGGTGACCCAAAAAGAAAGAAAATCCCCAAAAAGAAAATACTTTCATCATCATTCAACACTTTCACCTCACTCACACATAATCGCTGTTTTTGCAGAGGTGCCCAGAACACAACAGTTTAGAAGCATGTACGTATAAAGATACACAACATATCCCTCCAAAATGCTAATATCCCGAAACCCCTCCTTTAGAGTGCAGGCATTGTACTTCCCATTTCCAGGGCTCAAGTCCGGCTATATAAAAATAACCGGTTTCCCTGAATCCGTTCACTAAATATTATCCTACTCAAACTCCAACAGATTGTCAGGTCCCAAATACCATTCGTCTCCATTCACTCCTATTAAATACGCTCGTGCACGCCTGCTGGAAGTCCAAGCCCCTCTCCCAAAAAACCTTCCTTACCCCTTCCTTCCAACCTTTTTGAGGGCGACTCCTACCCTGCCTTCCTTCCCCTACATATTTAAATTCCCTCCATGTCATTCTACTTTAATCCATTCTTCTAAATGACCAAACCCCCTTTCAAAACCCCTCTTCAGCCCTCTGACTAATACTTTTATTAACTCCACACCTACAAAATGTATGACATTTTATTTCTCTAGTACTGAAATTACTCCAGTTTTTTTTTACCTGTACTTCTAATCTTTGGGAACAACATTACGTATAAAGTGAAAAACCTCCTCATTGTCAGCATAGTTGCTGATCCCTGTATTCCCTGTATTATATAGCATAGCATATTAGTATCATCCATGAGCTTTAGATACGAGATCCCTTGTAGGCCTGTGGCTTTGTGTGACGTCACGGGATGCACATGTGGAGGCTCATACCTCTGCCCCGCTCTCACTCGGCGGCAGACCATTCAGCAGACAGGCAAGGCGGCGGGCTCCATCCCTCACCATCTCAGACTGACTATATTAGTACCATCCAAAAGGGTGTCTTCCTTAAACCCTCGATATCTCCTTTAAGCACCCTTACGAAAATGGTGGCACGGGGGGCTGTAATCTGACGATTACAGCGATTTCGGGAGAAATTTTCGACCGCAAGACGGCTTCGTGCACGTAGGCCTCGAGGTTCACCCAGCCAGCACTAAAGCACTACTCGCCAAGCTCCTACCGTTTACATATTCACTGGTCGTCTCCTGTTAGTGTTTATCGCTTATTTGATCACTCCGAGGGGTTGACCGGTTTGAAAAATAGCCAGTTTCCAGTCTGTGGTTTGGGGGGAGTCGGAACAAGGGGAGTCCCATCAGCTAGCTACTCCATCCAATTCCTTTGCCTGCCAACCCGGGCTTCCACCCTGCTGTGCTCATCGTGGAAGTTATCAAGCCTTCTGTGTAAAGGTTAAGATAAGCCGTAGTAACAAAACAACCCAGGTGTCTTACCCCAGTACTCGAGCAACCCACGTGAGTAGTCTTCATCACTTGTGATTCAAGCTCAAGCATTCTGAGTGCTCTTTTTCATCCTTGTGGTGTTTGTAGTATTTCGTGGGTTTATTTTAAGCCAGCCAGCTTAGAATTATCTTCGCGGCAGTGTGGGTGTTCTCAGTGAGGCTTACGACTTCAAACCATAAGCCCAGCCACTCACGATCACGTGTGTCTCACCATTGCCGGTCTCAGCCCTGTTAACCAAAAACCCCAACTACAGTCAGCCATTACCCACTCCCCAAACTTCATCAGGTTTTGGTGCACTGCTAAGGGTTGTAGCACCATATTTTAAGGACCACATAGGGGGTAAAGAGCTAGTGTGTTTGCGCCACCTTTATAAAGCCTCCTGTGTTTGTCTATCGCCGATGTAAGCGCAATTCTACGATCATCTGTGCAGAGGACAGCAGCAAGACATTAAACAATCCATCAATTCATTCTTCAAGTTTTTACAGCGATAATATTTTTTTTTAGAGACATTTGCGAGTGTTGAGACATTTTTTTTTTCTATGTTTCCAGTGATTTTTTTCTTAGTGACATTCAGTGACTCTCGATCAGACTCAGTTTTTATCATGTACTGATTGCATTAATTTCTTTTAATCTCCTTAATTCAGTGTTAATTTTCGTGATTATCTTATGTCGTTGTGTTGTGTGTCTTTTTTTTAAACTTAAAGTAAGTATTAGTGTTTTTCCTTTGTTGGTGTGCAACATATGAGCAGTATAAAAACTTGTGTTACACTTCAGAATCACCTTGTGTTCTCAGTTTTCCCAGTGAAGTTTTTCAGTAATTTTTTTCACCTCATGTTCGGGCATCACAACTCAGTGTTGCTGTTATTTTTTTTTTCTTCCCAGTATTTGTGTATTTTTATTTTTGTTCCCTGTGTGTTGAACATTCTTGTGTTCATATTCTTTCCATTTAGCCAGTGTCTAATTTGTCTTATTTCCCCCAGACAATAGTCCCAAATTATTTTGTGCAAGCAAAAAAATAATTTTTTTTACAAAATTTTTCACACCAATTTTTCTTTGCAAAATCCCAGTATTGTGTTATATTGATGTGTTGTGTTCTGCATCACTGTAAGTGTTCAAACTTGTTTTGTTATGTGTTTTTTGCACCTATTATTTTTCATGTTTTATTGAACAAATTCACTCGGTGCAATTTTAAGTTTTCCTTTTAAAGTAAATTGTTCTTTTGCTTGTTAAGTGTTGCTTGAGTGCAGTTAAGAGTTGTGTTCATTCCTTGATATATTTCTTTTCTTGTGTGTTATAATTTTTATTATTGCACGTTGGATTCATTTTGCAATAATTCTTGTGCAAATATTGTGTTGCTATTAAAGTTTCCTTGCAGAAATTTTATGAAGTACTTGTTGATTAGCAATTGTTAATTGATATATTGTTTAAGTTTATTACAGTGCAGTTTCTTATGCTCTGTTCTGTGCATAGTATTTTATTCTGTCTGTTCATTTTATTTTTATTTCAGTGAATTGTGTGTCTTTTTTAAATTTTTGCACAAGTTTATTGAGTCCTTTTATCATTTTATTTTGTATTTCCCTTTTTGCATTGAAAGTAAAGACAAACTCACTGTGCCATTTATTCAATTTAAGTAAAAGTTGAGCAAATTAGATTTGAGCAAAGTACAAGTTCTCTTCATTTTCAGTGTTGTTCATTTCAGTTGCATATTTTTCTTGTGTGAGTTCTTTGCTTACTGTGTAACCTGTCAATTTTTAATTACTTATGCAGAATAGTTAAGCATTTCTTTCCATTTAAACTTACTGTGTCTTTTTCTCTATTTTTTTTTTTTTTTTTGACTTATGCCCCTTTAGTATTTTCACTGAGAAGATGTCCCAGTCACTTTGAAGTTCACTTAGTGTATCATTCCAGTCAAAGTCAATATGGGAAACAGTCCACAGTACCAACATTCCCCTTTCTGACTGGGAAAAAACAATATCTGCCCTTGAGCAATGTGTTTTGTTTCTCACAACTTGTATCTGAGATTTGTTAAAGTGCTGCGAAATGTGAAGTTCAGATTAGTTCCTATAGATCCGTGAATTACTTATTAACGTAGCCGAGCGGTCAGGCACTAGTAATTTTGTCAAATTTCCCCTCCGTGTTCCACCTACACCTTCAGACTTGCAGGATAGTGTTCCCTTGCCTCAAATGTCCGGGGACACTCAGATTGCCTTGAGTGCACAGCTATCCCTGCAATGATGCTAGTTCGAGTAGTAGTTTCTCCACAGGGGAAAGCCTTGTCAGAAAACGATTACTTGAAAAATAGTTTAAAGCCATCTTTGTTGATGTGACATGCTGTCTGCAGAAAGACGTCTCTGTTACAGCTAGTGTTCTCACTAGAGTGTCTGTTGTTGTTCCTGTGTTTCAGATGGTGTCCCATCCTAGTTGACAGTAATCAGTTCATTGAGAAGTTATTTCACGAGTAATTTCACATGTTAATTTGTAAGTGTAGTTTCTTTATAGCTGATACCTCGTGTCACTGTGTGCGACTCAGATTGAATATCAGCATTGTTCCCGTTTCTCATTTCTTTTCTCCTGTGCTTGCAGTTTTGAGATAGTAGATTCGTTCTCCCTTTTTCTCATATTGCGTGTTAAGCGTTAATTTTTCAACCGGGGGGGAATCATCCACTCCGAGTTTGTTTTATTCCTCCAGTAAGAAAGAAACTGTTACCTTATTCCAGACAAACAGCCTACTGGAAGGTTAGGCAGATGGACCTTGACTATCCAAGAGTTCAATCCCACTTTTGAACATTTACCTGGCAAAATCGAATGTAGTCGCAGATGCTTTATCGCGACAAAGTTAGTGTAGTTACTGCAGATCCTCCATTTACTGTCGAGGATGTCAAAAATGCCCAAGAACCGATCCCTTGTGTTCTGGTGATTCGATTCCTGCTCCAGGAAGATCTTATTCTTACTATGAAGCCACCAGCACCCATTAGTGACTTTGTAATGAGCCAAAAAATTATGTATCGAATAGTTGAGTTGAGTTTCTCCTAGCAGACAAATTAGTAATTCCACAGTCACTAGTGATTGTTTGCTGTATCTTTTGTAGATACTCGTTCAGACTGTCCTCAGTCAAGGCATGTGTTAGCCATTGCAGAGGAATTCAATCCTCCCAGAGATAACCATTCTGCATATGTAAAAACCCTTTCCCTCGCAGAATTGGGTTTAAGTGTAAACCCTGCATAATTAGATGTCGAGATGAATGAAATTATCAACTGTGTGGTTTTGTCATTAGTTTATCAGTTGTCAGAAATTTTCGTTTTTCACGTTCCCTCCGTATTCTGAGAATTTGACAGTACAGTAATGGTCTGAGTGCGCAACAGATGCCTTTGCTGTTAATTTCACCTTGTATTATTTATATTTATTTCCTTTAGAATCCGTTTTTGAGTGCATGAATACAGATCGATCGATCAATTCCATCCATATTGTATAATGATTTGTTCTTATAGTTGTAATGCATTACGTTAAAATCATTACGTTAACACCCATTACGTCAAATCATGTTGTACCATCCATTGTTCTAAGTTATATATGAATTTGTTATTGTATAGAATCAGCCCAGATCCGCCTGCCTGTTCACCTATAGTATAGTAGTGTATGTCGGGACGACATACGTAACATGACCGAGCTGTCAGCATAGTTGCTGATCCCCGTATTCCTGTATTATATAGCATAGCAAAATTAGTATCATCCATGTGCTTTAGATACGAGATCCCCTTTTAGGCCTGTGGCTTTTGTGTGAGTCACGGGATGCACATGTGGAGGCTCATACCCCTGCCCCGCTCTCACTCGGCGGCAGGACCATTCAGCAGAAAAGGCAAGGCGGCGGGCTCCATCCCTCACCATCTCAGATGACAATATATAGTTACCATCCAACAAGTGTGTCTACCTTCAACCTACGATATCTCCATTTAAGAACCCTTACGAGTTTTTTTTTATTCCATTTCTTTTCAAAATTCTAATTTGTTTCCCTTTGATATATGCTGCCTCCTAGATTTCATCGTTGTACTGTAGTCACATTAATTTTTTTACATAGTTTCATACCTGCACTCTGAAGGAGGAGTGGAGATATTGCAGTTGCAGGGTCGTCTAATTGTGATGTCAGCACACTTTTAGAAAGATAGCACTTAAGTGAATATTGACAAACATGTTTTTCTATTTGGGTCACTCTGCCTTGGAAGGAGATTGCCATTGAGTAAAATAAAAAAAAAAAAAAAGACTAATTTCTTAATCATTACAGTACTTTTGAGCTGGGACAGTAGATCCAGATTTTCAAGTTGACAACTGTGAAATAGATTGTTTGGTTGTCTTAATGGGCATGTATGATTTTAAAGGAATGAAAAAAAAAAGTTGGCACCATCAGTTTGATATATTATAATCTATACATTTAGTTAATTTTAATCTCACAGGTGACAACTGAAGGATTTACATGCTGTGAAATGAGGGAGGGTGCTCCTTGGACTTACCAGACAGATTTATATGGTGCAGCAGCCTTAGCTCACTTGTTCCTCTTTGGAACATACATGGAAGTTGAGAAAAATAGAGGCAAATGGAATATCAAAGGCGTTACTTTCAGAAGGTGTGTATGTAAGAATTTTTGTATTCAATGTTTTCTTGTTCATTTTGATACTTAATGTTTTTGTTTTTATTGATTTTATTATTGCTTTATCTGAAGTTATTAGGCATAAATTATTACTATGTACAGTTTTTCATATTGTGTATTTCAGAATTTCTATAATGCAATCACATCCTGAAAGCTCAAGATTTATATTTTTTTATCTTTAGTAAAGTGTTATTTTCAGTGGTAATGCATTTTAACTTATTGGAAGAATAAAGAAGTGAAAACAGTATTAAGTAAAAAGCAGTGAAATCATGCATGAGTGGAATTATCATGAAAAAACAAAAACTGGCTTCTCCCTGCTGGTATGATGGGCTGGATAAAGTGTTTAAAATGTACAAAACTTTTGATCTATAATTTGGACCACTTCATTTAACTGTCCATATGTTAATGTACTGTATGTGATAAGAGCTATGCCAACTGTGTAATTATTTAAGTCTCCTATTATGCTATGTCCCATGTCTATTGGATTTTAAGTATGCAATGCACATTGACCATATGTGATCCATTTGGTCCATGAAATGTACTGTAGATTTTCATCATTTAGTGATGGCCTGATTGAGCTTAGTACAATATCCATAGGCCTGGAATATGTATATTGCATAAATCAGGGATACCTGGTATAAGTTTTAGGGGTGAGCTCCAGCTGTTGGTCCTTTCTCTTAAATGACCAGCTGATAGGGCTGAGCTAACTTGTATCTGGTTTATTAGTTCATGTAACTGGTGTATTTCCACTGTCATTGTTCGGTTCAGACTTCTTTATCACTCCAGAGTGTTTCCTAATATTGCTGTGGCTTGTTTTTGTACTCTTACTGTATTCTGTATATTTGATAAGATACAGGCAATTAAAATTAAACAATTTTTCTTTTTTTCCTGACAGGTACCATCAGACAGACCTCTGGGAATTGGTGTTCTCCACACTCTTGAATGTCCCATCTTGTTCTTCAATTCCCAGTCTTAGCCAGCTGAGGAGAAAATTATGACCAGATTTTTCCAGATGGAACGCCGTAAAGAGATGAATTCGATGTTCAGTCGTCTTACGTCTTTGGTTGCTCATCGCCGATGAGTTGGAAGTTCCCAAGCTATTAACTTCAATGTGAATGTTTTTATTATAGATTTTTATTGAAGTATTTCTCCCAAAGGGCACCTCTATACAAGTAAATTTAAATTTGACTAGTAGCGATCATTAAATCACAGATTTTGCAGAATGTAGACCATTTATTTTGAAGAGAATAATAAATGGCAGCTTAGAATGGCCAAAAACCATTTTGAAAAATTATTGAAAGATTTTTTTTTCTGTGTATAGAAGTAAGTTTTTAATCTGTATGGAAATTAAACTGCAGGTGATGAAATAATGTAAGAAACTACTTTTAGAAAACTTCAGTTGTAGATGATTGACACAAAAGCCATGTAGTAATTAGAACCTTAAAAAATAATTTTGTCTGCACAGCAGGCTTCAAGTCTCTGGATAGAAAAAAACTGTAATGAAATAATCTTATCTCGGAAATAAATGTACAGTCAAATCGTACTATTATGAACTTGGGCCACCATAACTGAATTTCTGGTTTAAATACATAAAGCTAGGTGGCATAACCACACGAAAAATGTTAGTGCAGTGCCTAAAACTTGTTGGAGAATAACATTTTAAATACTGTATAGATTGAGATGAAGTTCAAGATTTTTAATCCCAAATTTTTAGTATTTTCAAATGAAATCTATAAGCTGTAATTCCTGCACTTAAGAATAAAAGAGCACTGGTCCATGCTAGGCAGGTTCATTTCAATCTTATATTTATCTATTCTGTTTTTAAAGCTACACACCCTGTTAAGTCTTGATCTTGGCTTATTCTTTCTTTTATTTATAACTCTTGCCAAACTGTTTCTTTCCTATATGTGGAAATCTGAATTTAGCCAACTTGAATTGTGTAAAAGTTGTTCTTGTTTAGATATCCTCAGCATCCTGTAATATACCTGTGACTGATTTAGATTTTTTTATCTCTGCCTGCATGCAGCTAACAATGGATACAATATTTCCTCTTCTAGCTGTTTTCATATAGGCCATTCTTTTTATTTAAGTATGTATAGGGGTACAATAATTTGTGGAATTGGTAATTTATTATAAAATTCAACCATGAAGCATGTAGTATTTGTTGTAATGTTTGTGTTATGATCAGTAAGTGACAGCATCATCGCTCATCAAACTTTTACAGTTTACATTACAATGTAATAATCCCTAGATATTTTTTTAACACGCTGGCCATTTCCCACAGAAGTAGTGTGACCCAAAAAGAAGCGCTTTCACCATCATTCACACCGTCACTGTCTTACCAGACGCGTGGAGATATGACAGTTTAGATGTCTCTGAACAGCAAATATCCCGAACCCCTCTAGAGTGCAGGCACTGTTCTTCCCACCTCCATGTAAAATATTGTGCTCTGTATTACTTTTACAGAAAAACTTATTTTTACTCTACTTTTCTGTGGTTCAACTTAAAAATAAGTGTGATTTACCCATGTTAAGACATTTAGTTAGGGATAGTGAATTTGACTCGATTGATTCAAGGTACCATATTTTCCGCATATAAGGTGCACCCCAATTTGTAAAATTTTCTGGGGGGGGGGGGGGGACAAAACTTGCTTTATAATGTGCCAGTGGTGGTTGCTTTTGCGCCATTTCT